AATGTTCATCCCTTATAGATCTGAGTTCTTTCCTCTAGGACCTCAATATAAATTGAATTCATTATTTCACACATTTCCCAAAATTTGAAGTTAGCCACATCAACCTAAGATTCCTTTTATCTTCTCCAGTTCTTTCAGCCTTCACATGACAGTTGTCAAATCTTAGTTTTTCATGTTTCACATGTAAAACTCACTTCCACCCCCTCATGTAACATGACCAGTATTAGCACTATTTTTTCCTTTCCCCAATCTCTTATTACAATGCAACTATTTCAACCTTAGTTTTTCCTGTTTTACTTGTATAACCCACATTCACCCCTTCCATGCAATATGATCAATTTTAGCATGATTGTTTCCTTCTTCCTAATCTTTTAATGTATTAAGATGAAACTATTTCAGCTTGGTGCCTATAGCTCAATGGCTAGGGTGCCAGCCACATACATCAACTGGTGGGTTCAAATCCAGCCCAGGCTTGCCAAACAACAATGACAACTACAACCAAAAAATAGCTGGGCATTGTAGTGGGTGCCTGTGGTCCCAGCTACTTGGGAGGCTGAGGCAAGAGAATCACTTAAGCTGAAGAGTTTGAGGTTGCTGTGAGCTGACACCATGGCGCTCTACCCAGGACGACAGCTTGAGACTGTCTCAAAAAAAAAAAAAAAAATTAACTATTTCTCCAGTCCATGAGCTATCACCCTGTTGGGATCAGAATTAGAATTAAGTACTATTGCTACATCTTTTACCAAATGAACTGTGAAACCATTTTCCCCCATGTTGGACTCACACAATGGATTGTTTAGGACTCAAGGGCTGACCTCACATGTGTGAATGTTAAACGATAGGGTTTTTCAACCTGTTGAGGATTTTAAATTATTCATTGTTCTATTCATTTATTCAGTCTTCTCCACATTTATATTATCCATAAATTTAGTAACTGTCTTTAAGTAGCAGATGAAAAGAAACTGCATAAGGCCAAGGACAAAAGACTGACATAAGCCATCAGAGGTCTCTCCAAGTTGATTGATGCTATTCAATAACTAGGGTATCAGCCTAGGATGAAGTCTGACTCTCAGACTTCATCACACATCAGAGTCACCTGGCAGGATTATTAAAACCAATTGTTGGGCCTCATCAATTTCTGATTTCTGAGAATTTGCATTTCTAACAAGTTCTCAGGTAATGTGATGACTCATTTTGAAAAGCATTGTGTTACGGACACAATTATTCAAGAAACTATCATCACACATTTCATGAGATTTCTTACAAACCTGTATAGGAGCTTTGGCTTGATTATTATGTTGGATTTAAGCTGACTCCCAGAGGTAGTTGTCCTGGTGTACAAACTGAGGTTATATTACTATGGTTCCACTTTTATAATTTTTAAGCTTTCAAAATGAATAAGCAGCTCAATTTAGTTAGAGAATCTAAACTCTGGCCAATTCTAATAGCCCCATTGTTGTTTTGAGTAAATGCTTTTTTGTTTTGTTTTGTTTTTTCCTGTTGCGCAAGGCTAGAGTGCTGCAGTATCATAGTTCACAACCTCAAACTCCTGAGCTCAATTGGTCCTCCTCCTGCCTCTGAGTCCTAAGTAGCTGGGACCATAGGCGCATTCTACCATGTCCAGCTAGTTTTTCTATTTTTGGTAGAGATGTGTACTCTTGCTCAGTCTGGTCTTGAACCCCTGAGCTCAAGTAATACACTCGCCATAGCCTCCCAAAGTTCTAGGATTATAGGTATGAGTCACTGCACCCAGCTTCAAATAAATGTTGAAACGCTGCTGGGCACATTGGCTCACACCTGTAATCCCAGCACTCTGGAAGGCCCAGGTGGGTGGATTGCCTGAGCTCACAGGTTTGAGACCAGCCTGAGCCAGAGTGAGACCTCTACCTCTAAAAACAGCTACTAGTGAGAGAAGAGAATCACTGGAGTCCAAGAGTTTGAGGCTGCTGTGAGCTATGATGTCACAGCACTCTACCAAGGGCAACAAGGTCAAACTCTGTCTCAAAAAAAAAAAAAAAAGCTGAAATGTTGGCATTATCAAAGATGAAATAAATTGTCCCATAGCGATTTTGCAACTTTCAAACAGATCTAAGTTCACACAGATCACAGTCTATTATAAAGGAAAGGGAACATTTAGCCTTTTCACTTTGACAATTTGTCAGCAACAGATATTGAATTTCAGGAGCTGAGAAAAACATTTAATCAATGAATGTAAATTTTTGAATGCCTTCTGGTATTAAGAAGGAGACATACCTTAGTTTCTCCTGTCTCATCCGTTGAGAGTTCACCTAAAGGGCCCAGTGCAGTGGCCTGTAATCCTAGCACTCTAGGAGGCTAAGGCCAGTGGATTGCCTGACCTTAGGAGTTCCAGACCAGCCTGACAGACTCCACCTCTAAAAACAGCCAGGTGTTGTGGTGGGTGCCTACAGTCTCACCTCCTCCGGAGGCTGAGGCAAGAGAATTACTTGAGCCCAAGAGTTTGAGATTGCTGTGAACTATGACACTATCACACTCTACCAAGGATGACAAAGTAAGACTGTCTCAAAAAAAAAAAAGAGTTCACCTAAAGGGTGAGATTTGGCCGATTTCCATTCACAAGAGCTCTATTTGTTAGTTTTAAACAAATATGTAACTTGAGTATATTAGCTGATCACTGGACCTCTCCCAATTCCCAAATAGAGTATGCTCAAACAACTTTTTCACTTCATTTATTCCTTCAAAACAAGTCACTTCATATAGCGTTTAGATATTTAAAATCACACACCTCATAAATAAAATTAATGCATCTTAATGACAATGGCAAAATCACATAAGAGTTGTACAAAATGAAATTAGACACCTTCCAGGTAGCAGCAGTGCATTAACTTCAAAACAATGCTGGCAAATAAAACATTTTTAAAACAAGAAAACACTGGCCATCTTAAAAAATATTTTATGCTCTGTTTTGCCCTTCCTTACTATTTTTTCACGTTAGGTCCTAAAGCTCTAAATTTGACAGTCTTTACTTTTACTTAGGGTTTTCTTCTTGCATCAGGAACCTCCGCCTCTACTGCATTAATCCAGTAACTACAGGAATATTGTTATTCTCTATTGCTTTTGGCAAGCTATATAGTCTGTATTTTAAGATTCAAAAATTTTAAAGGAAAAATATTACTTTGCTAAGTACGTATTTCCTGTAAACAGCTTGAGTCCTGAATGGCACCAATGTGAACTAGAAAACTGACAGGAATTAGGTCCCCTGGTCCTTCAACTTAAGGTCTATCATTAACTATATATCCCATAGCAGTTATAAAGGCAGACTCATGTAATCTTAGTAGAAATTCTAAACCTTCCTGTTTACCTACCACTTAACCAAATTATATTTTTACTATTCCTAAACTCTTACATGTAGATTAGTACTTTTAAAAACTAAGTATAAAAGCGCATAGCAAAATGCTGTATTCATGATTTTACAATTTAATGACAAGTTTTTTCACCTATGGCCATGCCACGTTCTAGGCTAAGAAATGCGGAGTAAGTGTTAAGGTGACAAAGGTATTGCTTTAAAAATGTTCCGAAAGCGTAATTCATGATTAGGAATGCATCCGTTTGACAATTTGTTCTTCTTTAGTGGTATTTTCTCCTCTTGCCCTTTCCTCCCTTCGTTCTCAAATACTATGGGAGGGTTATCGACCTCCTTTAAATGCATATGAATCAAGACTGAAATTAGCACCCCACAATTCATTTACCAGTGTGACATTTTTCCTAAGTCAAATATTCAAAGCACTGTAAACAAAATGCTAGCTTATTTTGAGGGAAAAAACCCTCACCTTCCCACAATCAGGGACATTTCATATTCTTTTTTATATTGGATAAAATGTGTTGAAATATTATAACACTTAATAAGACAATTAGCTTACTCAAATCAAGTAAATTACTTTAGACTTAAAAATGATGTTGCTTGTATGACACTTTTAAGACCTCTGCCTCAAAAATCAGCTTCCTTAAAATAAGTTTGCTTACGAACAAATTAAGAGTCTTAAGAATCTAATCTTTTAGAAATCATCAGTCATCTTTGTGGTACAAGAACAAATTTGAATACGACATTGTACAACAAATGATGTAAGACAGTCACATTACAATAGTAACATTCTTAATGCTAGGGCACACACTTTGCTCCTAATAGTTACTGAAATTGAGCTTCACTGTTATGAAAACACCAGAATGTTGTACCACTAGATACACTATACACTGATGGCAACGGCTGATTAAGAGCTGATAGTTAGCAGCTCAAAAATTGTATTTTAATGTTCTTAAGATCACTAGAGAGGGCTAACATGTAAACTTTTATTTCTTATTTTTTTAAAGTGCTGCAATCATAAATGTGTCTCAACACATAAAAGAACATAATTCTTAATACGTTAAATTGAAGAAGGCCACCTGATTCGTCAAAAAAATTCACTCTGTTGCTTAATCTTGCATATTCCCCATTCTAATTTTTCCAAAAAGACATAGAAAACTAAGTTTAGGCAGGGCAACTTTTAATTCCTATACACGACAGAGGAATAAACCAGAGAACAAGTTAGGCATGGGCACTTAGGAGCAGAGATAATGTAATGTCAATTAATTCCTGATTATGACTTTGCTGGGACTTCATGGAATAATCAAGTGGTATGTATACGAATATAACAGGGTCAAGGTGACCAACAGCCCAGCTTCAAGGATATCACTTCATTATGCCCAATTTTCATTCATGAGAAACATTTAAGAAATCAACCATGAACTAACAAAAGATGTAACATAAAGATGTCTTCGTAGGACTACCAAATCACACAATTCGCAGGGATACTAACTTCTGAAACCACCTTACCTAGACAGCACCTTTGTTAACACTTACTACCCCTCTTCTTTACTCCAAAGAAGAGCAAGGGAAAAGCAGAGGGGTGAAGTGGGAAAGTACAATCTTTATTCACTCTGCTAGTCTTCAGTGTAAACGTATTCATTTGATTAAAATTCTTGTTTGACAGGCAAAAACTGAATGAATAAGAAGGGGTTCATTCTGCTCCAGTAAAAATGGAAGACAAAGTTTCTTTTAATAGTTCTGCAAGTTCTAACTCCATAAATTTTCAAAATTCTCAAGATGAGAATTTACTTACATTAATAACTAATTTCAAGAGTTTAATCAGTGCAGCTAAAAAACCCTGTAAGTTCTGTGAGGCATACAAGCTTGAATTTAGAAAGGACAGTTTAGGTTTTTAATTTTTAATAATTAAATCAAGTGGGGGGGGGTCCTGCAAATAAAATTTCATTTTTTATTTTCCATGATCATAACACTACCTTAAAGTAATCAGTGCTAAATTTCAACAGAAGTCAACTGACAAATGATAACCTAGATAATGGATAAAAAAGAATAAGATCCCCTGCTTAAATACCTGACACTATGTAAACAAAACACTTAAAATGAAGGGGTTTAATTTTGGAAAACAGCAGTTTTGTATTTCTTTCCACTTGCTAAATTAATCCACTGCAGATAATATATATTCAAGTCGTGGGGAACATATCAAAACATGCCTGGCACATTATAAATTACTCAATAAATATGTGTTGTGTGAATAAACTTCTGGATTTAAAATTCCAGTAAGCAAATGTCAAATTTGGCTCCTGAAGTAGCACAAAGGGCAGGCAAGCTTTGCGAGCTTTATGAATGATGAATAAAGCTCAATTTGATATAGTTAATAATGTATTCTTCATTTATAGTTGTAATTCTCTCTGGGGGAAATAAGAGGTGTACAAAACCCATTTACACCATATGAGTCAGGTATAAAGAGTTTTTCCATCATATTCATTTGTACATGTCATGATTGCCAAACATTAAGTATCCTAAGCTCTCAAGCGCTACTTTTAAGGCTCAGTAAAATAGAAAATTAAACACTTTTAAGTTATACTGACCACAATAGCTTAAAATGTCTAAAACAGCTATGCACACAAAATACTCAAGAAATGTCATCTGATGATTTCAAGCATACTTTGTGAATTGTTCCTTAAATGTACTTTTCACCTAAATTGTTCACATGTTCCTAATTTTACATGGCCACCTTCACCAAGTGAAAGTGTTAAAGTAAATCTCACTTTTAAAATATTTGTCAGGAAGATACGCCGGAAGACAAGTAAGTGCTTTGAAGTAGACCATTCGTTTTCTAAGTGAGATACTTAATCAAAAAAAAAAAAAAAAAAAAAAGAGAGACCAAGATAACAAAACTTCATGACATTAAGCCTCTTCACATTATGTGAGATAATACATAACAAATTATAATTTAGCATCCCTGATCTTCAGAAGAATTAAGAAAAGAGGTAGAAAACTTTATCTGGAAGATCTTGTAGTGAAGCTAAGTTTTAGAGGGTGTGCCTTGTGGATCAGACCACCAAGCAAATGGCTACACATCTAGTAATAGGAAGAAGCAGAATTCTGAGAAAGCTGAATAAGGCAAGAATTTAAAAACTTTCATATTTTGGAAGTGAAACAAATTCACTCAATATAATCCTAATTACTTTAAAACTCTTCAAAAGTCAAAGATTGCAGATAAGCAAAGTGCTAATTTGCAGAAATGTGGAATTATTAAAAAAATTAGTGGAGGGATAAGGTTAGCAGAAAAATGCTTTTTACATACGCAAAAGATCTTACAAAAACCAAACCAAAGTAGAACATGTTTATAATTTTAGATGATTTTTTTGGAGGACGTGCTCTTAACAAAAAGTTGAGAAAATTAAATCCCTCCAGGCAAACTTAATAAGACAAAGGTTGAGCACTCAAATTTCAAGGAATTTCAAATAAAAAATACCCTGCTCAATTTAAAAATTTTATCCCATGTCACAAAGACCAATGTATGAACTGCATTAAAACACGAGGCCAACAGTCTTTTAAAGCTTCAGTAAGCTGCTCAGGCACCTTTTCCCTCATACATTCTACTTTTATACACAAGAAATCTTAAACAGGGAACTACCAGTTCCTATTTTTAGATAACATTCTCAAGGAAGAGACTCATCCCTGTAAAAGTTGCTTGTTATGTACTTATAAGTGGTTAAGTACACATTTATAAAGTCTACCAAATTGCAATATAAAATCAGTTTTGACAATTTTGAGTATCTTCATTTGATGAATCAATTCATAATTTAACCATTAACTCACTCGGAGTTATTGAAAGAACTCAATTATTGGAGATACTGTGGCATATGTCCAGGGGCCTCACACGAGACTGTCCACATTACCCCAAATCTGGTGCTGTTTTCTTCTACATGTTAAAGCTGCTGGGTGCTAGTTTGTAATACTAAAACTCAATTTTCAGGTCAGTGTCAGTAGGTGGTCCCACTGTCACTCCAGCAGAAAGAGGGCATGTATCACCACCGTAGACACAAATCTGTAAACTTGCACACTAATTTTAATCTTAACAAGGAATTTTAGTGTCTTAGTGGTTTTAAGTTAAAAGGATGTTTCAAGCATTGCGTCTTTTTGTTCTTTAAGGTTACGAATAGCTTATTAGAAAACCCAGAGCCTTCTGGATCTGTGAGGTAGCTGGCTTCAACCCTCATTTGTGTCAAGATCACACTTCTCCAAAGTTGGTATGGCCTGTCTCCTTGGCATGTTCCCTTGCTTCTGCTTGTCCAATTAATCCCTTCTGACATATCATGCATCTTAGGGTGAAGCGGTTTACATCAGTAAACTGTCTCCTTCTTCTAGCTTCATCTGCTAATTCCAGTGCTTGTACAAGAACAATATCATCGTTAGAGGAGAAAATGGTCAGAGGAGGTGTATCTGGATCAGGGAAGTTACGCTGAAGCGGATCATAATGGATACCGTCATAAATAAGCAGGACCCTTTTGGTATATCCTGCATCTTCCCCAAAACGATCAATTCTTACTGTCTGTGTATCCACTACACATATTTCGCATTGATAAAACTTAGACAAAATTGATATCTCAATTGCTCCTCCCCAAGTATCATCCCTTTTGATCCAGTCACAGTACTCCTGATTTGTTTTTCCCAGTATTGCCTCACTGTAGAAGTCTGTATCACTTGCTACAATTTGTGCTATGAGGCGTCTCATCTCAGGGGCACAAGCTGGATTCAAGACTCCTCCTTCAACGACATAGTACACACTGGTAAAGAGGCAAGAGTTGTCTGCTGGGACCACAGTTCTGCTAAGCACAGGCACAGCATCCCTGACGTAACTAGGAGCACCATGTATTGTAAATGCAGTTGAAGTTTTGGGCTTGGTTTGGTCTTCTTCAACAATCAGCATGTCACCTGTTAAAATAAAACAAACACAAAACTGCAGAGAAATTATAGGTGAAATGGGGTGTTCACTAGCCAACTGTATGAATTGCAAACACAGTAAGTATAAACTGGGGTTACTAAGTCTCAGCTTTGCAAACAAGTAACACATTTTGTTCACTGAATCTTCAAAAAGATGAAAACAGAAAAAGAAAAAAAGCATTTCAGGCTCCATCCCATTTACTGAAGGAGCCTGGAGTATACAACTTTATACTTACTTAAAAAGACACATTTCAAAAACAAAATTTCGTTATACAATGTACTTGGCTCTCTACATTTTAAAAACGCCAAACTTCCAGAAAGTGTTCAACCACAGACTAGGCCGCTAGGGGGTTCTCCTCCTAATGAAACTTAACACATCTATCCTATTTGTTTACAGAGTCTTTTCAATTATTAACATGGATATTTGTGTTTCCATACTGGACAGAGACAACTGCAGTTGGCTACACATTGAAAGGGGTTTCAGTGGGAGTTTAAAACCTAACTCTCAAATTATAACTGTCATCGTATGTAAAGGGGACTGCAAAAATGAATCAAGGAGAAGAAACAAAAAATCCTGCACCCTTCAGATCTGATCAATGATACATGGAAAAAGAGCCATAGGACAAAGAAAACTGGTCTTGCTTTTTAATAATTTTGTAGATGCAGAGGGAAAACGAAATGAATGATAGTTTCAAGGTAGACCAGAAAACAGTTCAGGAAAGGTGGAACCCAAAGGCTTTGGGCTTCTCTTTCAACCATGTGTAAAGACAAAAAGTTGCTAGAGACTTGCCCTGGCCTCCGTCAGAGTTCTGTTCAATCCTCACTCTCGCCTTCAAAAGCCCACAGCTGGTGACCCACCACAGCTACCCTGCCCTGACTGGTTCTCTGTTCTGACGCCCCTTTCCATTCTCCCAGGACTTCCTCCGGCCCTTGCCCTCATTACTTACCTGATTGGATGGGCAAGTCCTCTAGAACGGTATCCCCATCGCTGAGATCCAGGCACTCGGGCGGAAATCCAACCAGGATTCGCTGACCGCCGGGGGCGATCCCGGTGATGGCGGCAATTTGGCACTGGAGTTCCCGCACCCTTGTCCGATTGGACAGCCCCTGCAAAACATGGGTACCATCCTTGGCCTTGCAGCGGAGCCGCCACATCGTGTCGGTCCGGCAGCCCACAGGCCAGGCACCCGCAGGGCCAGTTTTGGTCCCGGCAGCAGGGTGGGAAACGCCGCCGGGAAAACCAGCCGCCGGGTGGGCTCCAAAATGGCCACCTTTCGCGGGGCCAAACATCGCGAGAAGTTGCTGGTTGTTACTGTTCTCGCGACGGTTTGGTGTGCCTCCTGCCGTAGCTCTTTAATGAGCGCAAACTTTCTTAAAGAGACAACTAGTTTCCACACCCCACAAGCCCCTCACGAGCCAAAGGATGAAGATTTGTCTGTATTCCTAAAGTACAACTGGTCTTGCTACCTGTAGAGAAAATGAAGTGCCCTCTGTGTCAATAGCATATATGCTCAAGGGAAGAGGGCGGGGGAAGGAGTTCCTGAATCAAGTACTGTAGATTGGAATGTGACCTTGCATCTAGTGAGGCTGGAAATTATTAAATTAGGGCTTCCACCCAAACTACTCCAGGAGAAACAGAATTACAGTTCAGAAAGCAAATGAACGCCAAGAATGGTAAGTGAGTCAAAGGATTTGTCAAAGACACTAAGATACTCGTGACTAAACTCTGGCTGCACCAAACATTGACTCATTAGGGTTAAGGGGGTTGGAAAGACTGGCCTTTCCACCCGCGTGGGACTGTACTTGAAAACGTCCATTGGCCACATCAGAAAGCACAGTATGAGGTCAGCACCTGGGCCGAAGGCAATTGCCTCTTCCGGGTGGCGGCAGTACAAGGATGAATGGAGAGGGCTAACATGTGTCATCTAGCTTCCAGTTCAGTTCCTGGGTATACAAATATGAAGACTCCATTCCTGCTTTCAGTATGAGAAGTACTCATTGTGGTGGGGAGAGGGGGTAGGGTGTGAGAGCCACATAACCACTGAATTTCACAACATTATCAATGTGATAATGTCACATTTTGTGTTCCTTTGCAATCTTTTATGTCTAGAACCCAGGACTATGTCTCAAAAATAAAAAGTGCTCAATAAGTATTTAAAGAGTGGGCAAACACAAAGTTGTATAGGCACAGAGAAGGCACCTGTAAGACGCTGGGAGTTGTAAATAAAAAGCTTCCCGGGGCGGCGCCTGTGGCTCAAAGGAGTAGGGTGTTGGCCCCATATACCGGAGGTGGAGGATTCAAACCCCGCCCGGCCAAAAAAAAAAAAAAAAAAACTGCAAACAAAACAAAACAAAAAGCTTCCAAGTGGAGATAACTATTCGAACTGTTTTGAAGGTTGAATTTAATTCTCAGATGAAGGAAGAATGAAGTCGTCCCTGAATTTCTCCCTCCTTCCCAAGAAATCCATACTCAATGTTCTTTGCTTATCATGGATACAGACAGCAAGTCCCACCCTGCCTAGACTGGGTTTATTAAGCATTTAACAAGTCTACTGGGGCAACTACAGAAAGTGTAGTTCCCTTGGAATGTGTAAACTTACCTCCAGTGTAAAAGCCTCCGTCCCTGAACAAATTATATGGAACCTTTGCATCTTTTCACACTTTCATGACTCAGTTTTTTGCTGGTGCAGTTTTCCTCCTTGGTTCTTCAAGAGGATCACAACATAGCCTGGGGGAAGGGGGCGGCAGAAGGGGAATACGGAAGGTGGTTAGAAGTCCGCTGGAGTATATGGATGATATATAAGAGTAGTCGATTTTCCTAGGTTACAGCGTCTGACCTACAGGAAGGATATGCAAACACCCTAAGATGTAATCAGCTCAAGCGTAGTAGTAGTTTATTCTAGCAAAACATATTTTAAAGCTTACGATCCAGGCCTCTTGTTACGACAGGGGGTCCATTCGTTGTCTGTGGCGAATGTTAAACGAAAAATAAAGCTTACACTTCAATTTATGGTTCTAGGGAGGTCCTGGTGGGATACAGGGATGAAAGCGTTAATCACTGCAACGTTTTCCGGTTACCAAAAGATCCCAGTCTCTCAATACATCTACCTAATAGTACGCTCTCGCGAGAGTAAGTTTAAAAAAAAAAAAAAGCTTTATTAACCCCGCCCCCAGCTCTATCAGTTACCAAGCAACAATGCAACCAACCTCCACAGTGCTGGGAAACTTGGGAGCTTGGGCTGGTTCTCCTTCACAGACCCATCCTCCTTCGGGAGCCAGCGCCAGCGATTCCGCCTTGAGCTCCGCCCCCTGGGTCCTACGGACGCTCGATTGGTCGATGATTCTCTCCAGGTGAGGACTGACGCACAGGTGGGCGGAGCTAGGAAAGAGCACGTGACTTGCCGGCAATTGGAATGCTGGGCCGCCGGACACAATCTGTCCACTCCAGTCTGCAGCGTTACCCGGGAAGCGCCGGGGCAGCTGCTGGGAGGGGTCTTAGAAGATCATAGGGTGAGCGACATCTGTAAAGCGCGGGGAACGGGCTGAACGGGCGGATTTAGAGGGGCTGTGTGCATCCAAATGAGGTGCAGGGCGATGATGCCTGGCTGTTTAGGGAAGTGCTCATCCCCCGGGCATTGCAAGGGAGTGCTGAGGTTCGGAAAACGGGAGTCGCAGCTGGGGTTTGAGTTGGAGGATTTGTGTGGTCGGTGGAGGAATCGTGCAAGGTCCTTGAAGCAATAGGACCTTTCGTCCTCACAAGCTCCCTTTGGTCAGAGTTTGAGGAATGAGCGCAGGGCTTCCCCACCCTAGTTCGAATCACGGCTTACCCCTTATTCTGCAGTGACCTTGGGGAAGTCATTTACCACCTCTGTGCTCCCAGTGTTAACTTATTTAGACTAAGTCCCAGGGGGAAATTTGGAACAGGATGAAGAGCAGGGCTTGAGAATGAGAACACCAGAGGAGAAATGATGACGTGGGAGGGCTATTTCAGGGTCCAGCTGACAGTTTTTTCTTAAGGGACCATGTTTGAGATTTTCCCACTTATTTCTTTTCAAGACTGAGTCCTACCGTTGGATTGGAATTACTTCCTTGATCTATTCATAACGTACCCCACCCTAATTGGTGCCACTGTTCTGCACAGATCCTTCAAACTAGAGTGTGAGGTCATGGAAGAACTTGAATGGGCAACTTAATTCAGTTAATCTCAGTTTTTCAATCTGTAAAATGGAGGCAAAATCTGCCTACAAGATTATTGGAAGGTCTGAAGGAGATAATAATGGCTGTGAATGTAAACTCCTGAGTCAGCATATGATTGTAAAGGTCTAGTGCAACTCTAGATAAAGAAACAGGGCTATGAAAGTAGCTCTTGAGTGGGAGAAAAAGGGCGAGACTTGACTTTTGATCCACGGTTCTTTCACTTATATCAGAGAGCATCTTCACTGAGTGTTTTGTGGGGTATCTCTTTCATTCCCTTCCTTTAAATTCTTTTTCTGTCTTTCAGACATCTTTTGAAGAGCTGCCATGTCTAGAAATTTTGCATCTTCCTTGGAACAGAACAACAATACCTATGAAACCAAAACCTCAAGTCTTCGAATGTCAGAGAAGAAATGTTGTGAGTCCTAGGAAAGAGCAGAGACTGCTAGCATTCTTTCAGGATTTTATTTGGGAAATACAGTTGTAACCCTAGACTCTGATCCTTGGTGGAAATAAGAAATAATTCTTTGACATGATAATTGAAAACAAAGTCTCCAGGGTGGAATTTCCTATCTAAAACAAGTAGATTTAGGGAAATATTTGTCCTTGGGGCTAGGCTGCTGGTGTAGCCCAGCAGTTTCTTGCTGTTTTCTTTAATTGAATCTCTATTTCCTACACACTGGCTTGCTGCCAAAGTTACAATACACATCATTGTACACACAGTAAGTAAAACAGTTGCAGAGTGCAGGAGTTACTTCAAAATGGTATCAGTTTTTCTTTATTGGGCTGAATTTTAGGAGGGTGCTGCTTGTTGCAGAAATTGCAGGTAGGAGCCAGTGCTGCCTGGCATCATTCCTACGGACCTCAGGGGAATGAACCCTGACACTTTTCATAGTGACTCAGGCACCTTACTGTCTCACAGGTTTGGCCTTTGTACTTTGCAAACTGTTTTCCCAGCAGGTTCACTCGTTTGAGGGCAGTTTTCACATGAGCATTTCCATGGCAATCTTTTAGACAGAGAGAGGAGGCGGGCTTGCAGGGAGGTGAAGCATCATTTCCTGTTCCAATGTGTCTGTATGCCTAAGCATCATTATAGAGCTTCCCGAAAGGACTGGAACACTAGTCCCCAGATGTTTGGGTGAACTTCAAGGAATGCTAAGTCTTGCCCCTGCTTCCAGATTGTACCTTTCCTTTGGAATCTTATCAGTCATTTCTTCTCTCTGGAGTAGTTATATATATCAGAGGAAATATATTGGTTGGAAATAGCCAACCAGTGTGAGACCAGGGATAGTCTCATGTTCAGAGCTTTCCCCAGAGCCTTGACCTTGATGTCATGCTCTTGTCAGTTTCATGATTAATGATGATCTCTCTTCAGCTAGTACCCATGAGCCCTACTGGACAGAAGCAGCTGGTTTGGATGCGGTACTGAGATTGGCACACAGTTAGGGTTTCCTTTCTCTGCCAGGGCAGGAAGCCACTTACTAAAGGCACAATTCTACATGAGAGATAATAGTATAGCATGATGTTTGAATGCAGCCTGTGAAGCCAGACTGCCTGGACTCGAATCCTGGCTTTTCTACTTCCTGTTTATGTGCCCTTGAACAAGTTGTTCATCCTCTCCATTCCTCAGTTTACTTCTTTTTAATGTGGGGATACTATTAGTATCTCCCCAAGAGTGAGACAGAGATTAAACGACTAAATATAGAAAAGCATTTAGAAGAGTGTTGGGTATATAGCTAATGGGTATTATTTTCACAGGTGCCTCAATCTGTATGTTGCATTTATTCTTAAAAGATATATAAATTGAATTACACCTAAATGCTGTACTGGGAAGTCACTATTTTGAAAGATGTCCTGTGAAGAGCTCTAACTTCTCCTTTCTAAGCTCTATCTTCTGCAAACACCTTCTCCTCCCCCTGACCCTGCTCTACTGGAGGCCACCATGATTTATTTACCCTACTCTCTTCTCAGTCATGTGACTGTTGGAGCCATAGTTCAAGGAGAAGAATATAGTTATGAGGATAGGTGTTAGTCTATTTCCTTTTGCTCTGCTATGTATCTGTATTTTGGAGCAGACTCCTCTGGCTGCTTGTGTTGACACCAGCAGTTGTTTTATTAATAGCTTAATAGCTTAACTGTTATTCCCTTGCTGCTACTTACACCTGTGTTGGGGAACTTTGACTCTGGGAAGTGACTGGGCTTGAGGACTTCAGGGCTAAAGAATGACTTTAGGAAACTAAAACCTCAAAAGAATCATTACTGGAAATTCAGCTGCTCCAGGGATAGGGTGAAGAGAGGTGCTGGCTGAGGGGCCTCTTGGTACTTAGATGACCAGTTTCAGGGCTCTATGAAAGGGTGGGGGGTTCTAAATGGGTCTTTTTTTTTTTTTTTGAATTTTGCTATTTTGAGTAGATATGGTGTAGGCAAGTCCCTACATGTTCCTCTCCCTAAATACAAAAGCAATACATGTTCATGAAAAATTTAAACAATACAGAAAAAAAGTGAAAAGTAAAACAATCTCTCCTGTCTCTGCTAAGTTTGACTCTTTTGGGTCTTATACTGGGTGTGTCCTATTAATGAAAATAAGTTCATAATGTATTCTTGCCTGCTGCCATTTCCTTTCTTAAAAAACTTAACTACAGTAGAACCTCTGTAAGTTGACCACCCATGGGACTATAACAAACTGGTCACTATACGGAGGTGGTCAACGTAAGGAACTAGTCCTACTGTTCTGATATGTGATGTGTGTCTGGTCTTTGAAAATTAGGTCAACTTAAGGAGGTGGTCAGTGTAGGGAGGTGGTCCACGGTGGGGGTTATGCTATCTATTGTAGACATCCTTTTCACGTTGGCGAATCCAGATTGACCTCATGCTGCGTTACATGGATATGTCAGTTTTCCACCCATGAATATCTAAATTGTTTCCAATTTTTCCCCATCACAAAGAAAGCTGCAGTGAGCATCCTTACATGTATACCTTTGCATGTTTGTGCCAGCAACTTTTCCTACAGAATAGGAGAGAAGATAGACACATTGGAAATGTTGATCAATATTACTAGTTTACTCCCCTCAGAAGTTCTATGTTCTAAGCTATTTTTAATATTTCAAGATACTTGATGGGAATTGGGCATTAGCAACCATTGCTGCACTGGTTAACTAAGACATTGGCTTTCTTACTTAGTATTTGGGTTCAGCTATGTGAATTTGGTTATTTCATGCCTGTCAAAGAGTAGGAGGTAATCAGCAGTTTTTATGACTTCTAATGAACAAAAATAGGATGTCACTGGTGAAACATGCTTTATGGGCAGCATTTTACAAAATATTGGGCCTATTTAGAACAAGACCTTGGCCATGAAAAAGGTGGGAATCTGGTCTAGACCTTCCTTCAGGATTAGAATGGAGAGCATAGTTGGGTTTGCCATAAGGGGTTTCTTTGTCAAGTGCTGACATGAGGCATGGAGCTGGCAGTTGGGACTGAATGGCCAGTCATGAGACCAGGAGTCTGGTCAGAGCCCTGACCTTGATTTTCTATTGTGCAAAGCTACAGGCAAAGCTCTTCACTTCTCTGGCCTTGAGTTTTTCTGTTTATATAAGCAGTGTTACTAAGTCCTTAAGTCATCTAAGCAACTTTATAAAGGGAAAAATAGTTTAAGATTGTGAAAATGAGTTAAACCTTGTGTGAAGACGGTAGAAAGGAATTTTGAGGTTTAAACAGTTTTCTATTATATGTCAAAGATGGGGTATATTGTTTCTGAAATTAACCAGCAGGAAGTATCTACCATTCAAATTAAGGTGTTGGTGACAGGTGGTTTAATAGGCAGGACAGAATGTTCCTAGTTTTGCCAGTGTAGCAATTTGAAATAGGAAGTGTGGTTTACTTTTGTACTCCGGAAATTGAGAAGCTATGGTTGTAGCAGCAGGTGTGTGTGGGTGTGTTTAGGGCAGAGGTGGGAGGTGTGCAGCTGGAGGGCTCCTGTGGGGTCTCCGTGGCAGTTTTCTTCTGCTCTTAACATTTTCTGTCTAGTTTGGTAAACACAGAGCAGCTGGTCCCCTGGTTACCTTCAGAGCAGCTCCCAAGTATCAGTTCATTTTAATCTTTGAGGAGGGTAGCTGGGCCTTCGGGGAAAGTGCCTAATGGACTGGAAGCTGTGGACAAAGCAGGCCTAGAAGTGCAAGGTAATGAACCAAGTCATGGGGATTGAGAAGACTGCAGGGCTGAGCTGGGCTGGAGAAAGTGAAGACTTAGCGGATTTTGCTTCCTAAACCCGAGGCAGCTGATTCCAGGCGGAGTACATCTGCTTATTAGGGGTCAGCAATCAGGGATTAATACTAGCTGAGAATGCAGGGTGGTGTTTGTTTGCCTTTACACTCCCTATTTGGACGGAGATGAAAATCACTTATGTTGCTCCATTACCTATCTTGGAGGGGCTCCTGCCTAGGAAACTCTCTTCCTTCTGCTATCTGGGTCCCTCTGTCTGCTTCTCCAGTGAGATCTTTTAACGTTTCTTTCTCAAAAGATAAAGATAAATTTCTCATCCAAGTGCTTCCATTGTACTGAATTTTCCCTTAGGCTTACAGGACCTCCTTGTCCCAGGGCAGAGAAGCAGCAGCAACTAGCAGGGCACCTTCTGGAAGGCTGTGCTGGGAAGTGGAAGGTGAAGGTGCTTCCTTCCCTTTCCCACCCCGGGCAGGGCCTTCCCTCGTTGGCGCCAGCAGAGTCTGAGCCCTTCCAGATCCCTCTCAGTTTGGGTCTTGCCCCCAGGAAAGTGGCTGCCAGCAGTGCAGGCCCCTCTCTCTCTGTGGCAGGATGGGAAGGGATAGCCAGTCCCTGGGAACCAGCTGAGGAGGAGCCTCTCTCCAGGGAGGAAAGCTGCCAAGAAAGCTGCCAAGGAGGCACAAGATTTGGATTCCAGTGCCAGCTCTCCCCTTGACTCATTATGTGTCCTTAAACAAGTCACTTGACCCCTGAACATTCAGTTTGCTCCACTTGTCCAGTGAGACTTCTTTCTGTAAATGAACATTCCTGAAATAAGTGAACACACTAAGGAAGGAGAGACCAGTGACTGTCCACGCATCTCAGTTGTCTCTTATATGGGCCATTGAGGCAGGCTGGGCTAGCTCTACCATAAAACTTCCTGAGATTTATTCAGAACCTGGAACAAGTAGGCTTTGCTTCCCAAATCTCTATGGTTTAGAAATTCAGACTTAGGCAGGAGGTCATAGCCTGAGGGCAATAGCCAAAACAGCTTGAGGCAAGGCTCTTTTTGTAATAGGGCAGGCTAATTCTGGCCTGTGGCCTTGAAGCAGTGAGTCCTATCTTCAAGATAGAAGCTCTGTTATACTTTTGATGGACGCTGGCTCAGTTCTGCACGGGTATGATCTCCCGGCAAAAGACTTTTCTTCATAGCTTTATCATTTTTATCTTATTACTCATTCTCATGTTAAGGAGATGACATGATTATTTACTCTCTATTCCTTGCCACTTTTCTCCCCCTTTCCACTTTGCATACCTCTGCCAAGAGGGACAAACATCTTGGTTTGGGTAATTTCTGGAAATCTGCACAACCTTTAGCTCCATTTCAGGAAGGCCAGTCTGATATTTTTCCTTATTTGCTTTCCCACTCCTCCTTTGCCTCAGAGGTCTGGAAGGATTAAATGAGATTATGCCTCGCCCATGGCATAAACCTTATCCTTATCGTTTGGATCTATTTTGCTTCATTCCTCCTAGCATGGGCATCCTATATGACCAACTCCCCGACTCTCATCGTCATGATTGGTTTGCCAGCCCGGGGAAAAACCTATGTGTCCAAGAAATTAACCCGCTACCTCAACTGGATTGGCGTGCCCACCAAAGGTAGGCGTAGATCATTTCTTGGGAAGGGAAATACTAGTTTTTTGGCCTCATGACCTCTGGGAGATTTATTCTTTCTGGCATTAAGGCCGTGGGGTGCTTATGGCAGAAATAATGGTCACTTTCTGATTTCCTGGATTTAGTGATTTACTCCCTGTTCCAAGACTTGTCTCCTCTTGACCTGGGTAGCTTGGTCTTATTTTGAAGGAATGATTTTCATTGGAGAATTAAGAATTAAATGAGTATGGGGTCTTACACTTGCAAAGCCCTGCCCATGTATCATTTTATCTAACCCTATCACTATTTCTGTGAAATAGACAGGGGGCTGAGGAAATTGAAATTTAGCTTCAGACTTGTGAAAGGTCTAGAAAGTCAGGACTTGAACCCAACTCTTTTGACCCTTAATCTGGTATTGTTCCCAATGGTGCTTTCTCTCATCCCCTTGGCCACTTTGACATTAGGCCAAGAAGTCCCATTTGGTGGGGCCATCATGTCGTTTTACTGTTGAAGAGATTTGGGTGTCTTCTGCAGTGTTTAACCTTGGGGTGTATCGGCGTGAAGCAGTCAAGTCCTATAAATCCTACGACTTCTTTCGTCACGACAACGAAGAGGCCATGAAGATCCGCAAGTGAGTTTTGTTGAAGGCCTGACCCAGGTTGACTCTTTTCTTGGCCATTGTTAGACTAGATGGGACAAGGCTTTAGTTTCTTTTAGTAAGTATCTTGTGGGATTTTAAGTAGAAGCTATCTAATGGGTAAGTCACCTTGGGCTTAGGTGGGTAAAGAACAGGGCTCCAAGTGATTGATACTGTGCACTTGTAGACTGAGCCTATAGAGCAGTGTGTTCAACCTTTTCTATCTCACGGCACAGTTGAACCTGTAGTTGAACTTCTGTGGCACTCTTAAATTATGTTGATCCAAAAGGAGTAAAATAAAAAGAATATGCTTAACTGTACTTTGAACTTCTCTCAAAAATAATTTAATTAATGATCTTTAAACACTTTCATAGTACACCTAAGATCCTCTTATGGCACGCTGATTGACAGTCACTGCACAAAAGGGATAAGATCTGTGCCTTGTGGGGGCAGGAGGAAGATACAACTCCCTCAGTGGGAAAGTTGAAAGATCTTAGTTGGGTCAAAATTTTGGCCAGTGGAAACTAAGTGTGAAGGCATGTGAATGCCATGGCAGCCCACGGTCTGTATCTCTGGCTCTGAGTGTGTGTGGCTCTTGCTGACTTCCTTTATCCTTACGGTAGGCAGTGTGCTCTGGTGGCGCTGGAGGATGTCAAGGCGTATCTCACTGAGGAGAACGGGCAGATTGCGGTAAGCCTTCTCTGCTGCTTCCCTTTCTTGGTTCCCACCCGGTCAGCAGCCTGGCTACTTGGCCCCACCTTGGTCAGGCTTGGTGGGGTACCATTTCTCTGTTCCCACTCTTTTCCCTGGTATGCTTTCTTCCCAGGTGTTTGATGCCACCAATACTACCCGGGAGAGGAGGGACATGATTTTGAACTTTGCCAAGCAGAATTCCTTCAAGGTAGGACCTGACTCCACCCTGGAGGAAAAGGGATGAGTGGAGTTGGGGAGCGAGGGTGGGGGCTGGTTCCTGTGGATCTGTTTGACCATGGTGGGTGAGGACAGGATTGGCTACCCGATTCTCTTCATCCTTGAGTGTTTTCTTTCAGGCCTTTTCTCAGACCCTTAGCCTGTGTGCTTGAGGCCCAGGGGATGTGCTAAGAGCTACATGAGGAGGCCTTGAAGGCCACCTTCATGAAGACAATCCTGGGGGATGTGGTGGCTGGGTGGGGTAGGTGAGCATGTGCTCTTAATGAGTAGCCCGGCATGTTTGACTTGTTGATCACTGCCTTGTCTCCATGGCCAGGTATTCTTTGTGGAATCTGTCTGTGATGATCCTGATGTCATTGCCGCTAATATCCTGGTGGGTGACACCCCTACATACCACTTCCTCTTCACCTTTTGTGCCCTGTCTGTCTCTCTGTGTGTGTAGCAGGGGGCGTTTTAGATAATGAAAGAGAGAAATAGACATGTGTAACATCATAGAGATCTTTTTTCTGTCTGCCAGAGCACCATTTGGTACTTGCACGTCCTTTCCTCGGGAGACTGAGGCTTTGAGGAATGCAATGAGAATTAGCTGTTGAATGGACTTAGGCCCTAGGAATCCTGATTCTGTGTTCTGTATACTATTTGGATAATGAGCTCTAGAGATTAAAGTAGGTCAGACTTTTCATAATCTGTCAGGGCTGACCTCTGGAAAGGTCATCTGCCCAGCAATCAACTAGTGTTCTAGTCAGTGTTTTATGCATTGAGCCCCTCGTGCCTTGTAGGAACACAGCATAAGACAGTCCCCACTGGATGAACTGTGCTTTGCTCTGCCAAGGAGATATCTATCTGTACATGGTCTCAGGGCGGTGGTCTCCAAGCAGTGCAGGAACTTGGGATCATTTGGGGAAGAGGCTTCTGGTCCTAAGTCAGGCATTGGGTCACGCCCCCTATTCTGCGTGGTAATGGGGAGAAATTGGAGCCCATTCTGCTTTCCCAGGAAAGCATGTAAAGGGAGTGGGGCCCCGGAGTAGCTTCAGCTGCGTGACTGCTTCTGTCCTCCAGCCAAGGGCAGGCACATGATGCCCAGTTGTCTTTACAGTCTTGGTTGCCAGGGTCACTGGAGGGGGAAGGGGCGCTCAGTGAATTAGGCATGCCAGCATTCCAGTGAAAGGCTACTTTTATGAACTTGTTTTTCTTTTTTTAGCAGTGGCTATTTGTAGGAGGGCTGTTCAGGGAAGACCTCTGCCAAGGCCCTGACTAGCCCTGTGGTTTCAGGAGGTAAAGGTGTCAAGCCCTGACTATCCCGAGAGGAACCGGGAGAATGTGATGGAGGATTTCCTGAAGAGAATCGAGTGCTACAAAGTCACCTACCGACCCCTCGACCCAGACAACTATGACAAGTAAGGTTTGAGGCCGTGGTTTGAAGGGCCTTACGCAAAGATCTCATCTGGGGAAAGGGCCTTTCTCCCTCTGTCCTCTCACTTCCTTTTGATAATCTAGACCTACTGTGTTCCCATCATCTCAGAGAAACCAGGAGTGGATTTGTGGCTTTTATGTGGCTCACATCTTATGCTTGAAAATTGAAGTGCTTTTTACCTTCAGTGGTTTTTGGTTTTTAGAGCAAGATTTCCCAATCGTGTTGGCACTTTCAACCGGATAATTCTTTGTTGTAGGGCCTGTCCTGTGTATCGTAGGAGGTTTAGCAGCATCCTGGCCTCTGCCCACTAGATGCCAGTAATACCTCCAAGGTGTGATAACCAAAAAATACATTACCAAATGTGCCCCGAGTGTCAAAATCACCCACCGGGGAGAACCACGGCTCCAGATGAATAGTTCTGAGCTGGGGTATTGTAGGACATGCCTTAGAGGTATGTTGTCAGTTTTAGATGAATTTTTAAAGTTTACTCTCTATATGGTATATAATATTACATGTCTATTAGTACATGTGTTTATCATATATAATACCTAATAATATAATAACTATTGCACGTCTGTATATTACATGTGTGAAGCCCTTAGAGCATGACTCACTCAGAGAAATGTCTGACCAATGTTAGCCGTCATGACCATGGCAGTGTCTGTTGCCATCGTGGTATAGAATACAGATTATCTCATCGTGTGTGAGGTATGCGAGCCATGGCAAAACACCCACTCTGTGATGAAGAAAGATAGTGTAAGCATGGGAATCTGCACAAGTGTGGCCTTGATAAAGAGTGTGCTTTTAGTTCTATCCCAATAAAGATACAGACCTGCAGCCAAGCAGATGGGGTGACACGTGTGCGTGGCACATTGAAAGTGCTGCAGTGGGCTGGTTCATGTTTTGAGACTTTAAGTTCCTTCAAGGGAGTTTCCCAGAATGCTAATATTTGGAGATGTCCTCTTCATACAGAGGTTGTAAGCCACTGCCCTAGATGTGACATAACAGTATATCCTTCTGTTAACTCAAAGTCCTGTCAAGAAAAGAAAATTTAAATATATGTGTATGTTTAGCTATAGTGGGGTGATGGGTGATTTGCATCATCCTATTTTTTCCCGATTTTTTTTTTTTTGGACTGATTTTTTTTTTTTTAAAGCACTTATTCCTTTTATAAAGAGAATAATCCCATGATGGCCACAAAACAAGCAGTATCTGAAAGTGTCTTTGAGGGAGGCCCAACTGGGTAGATGCAAGGAGTATGTAGACATCTTCATGTGGTTCTGCTGCTTTCTCCCGCACATCATTGCTGGTAACCAGGTCTTGATCGCTCCAGATGGGCTTGTTCTTCATGCTAAACTCAGGCTTAGCAAAGTCTCCAAGTCATCCAGTCTAGCTCCTGATGGGAAACCTGAATTCTGTTTGCCATACTTAACCTACGTTGCGTGGTACTGTACAGGCTATGTGGAAATAGTATGGACCAACTACAAGTTCAGAAGATCATGGTTCATTTGCTTTTGAGGAGTAATCCATCTTCCACCATTTGGTTCCATAAATGGGGATGACAGAGGAGAAGGAGAAGAGTGGCTGTCAGCCTGCTGGTCACTACAGAAATCCTTTTCCCTCCTAATGCTATTACCAGACTTTAAACTCAGGAAACTTTTTTTTTTCTTTTCTGCCCTAGGGATCTTTCTTTTATCAAGGTGATAAATGTGGGCCAGCGATTTTTAGTCAACAGAGTCCAGGACTACATCCAGAGCAAGATAGTCTACTACCTCATGAATATCCACGTCCAGCCCCGCACCATTTACCTTTGCCGGCATGGAGAGAGCGAGTTTAACCTCTTGGGGAAGATTGGGGGTGACTCTGGCCTCTCAGTGCGGGGAAAGCAGGTAAGGATTTAGCCAGCAGGCTGGATTTCTTAGGCTTAGAGTTAGAAGGGCATGGCAGAGGTCATCTCTTTTAAATCTCATTTGGGCTTAAGACTGTGGCTTCAGAAAGTCAGGCAAGTACTCAAGGTGATTTCTTGCTCACTGCTTCCAGCTCTGTGTGGGTAACTTGGAACCATCTCTGCTATGATCTTTCAGCCATCAGGTATTTATTGGGCATGACTCGTATTAGCACAGTACGGCGCGCCCCAGTCAAAGTTCATTTCCTCTTGGCTTTATATTAACCGCGTAGCACCTTACAGATTTGCCCCATGGCTATACACATTGCCTGTTACAGGCTGAGTTTAGTAATCTTTGTGTCTATGTGTGTGTTCTTGTTCTTTTTTTAATTTTTGTTTTCAAACCCCAGTTTGCCCACACTCTAAGGACATTTCTGGAGGAACAGGAGTTGGCAGACCTCAAAGTGTGGACAAGCCAGTTGAAGAGGACTATCCAGACTGCAGAGTGTCTTGGGGTGACCTACGAGCAGTGGAAAATTCTGAATGAGATTGATGCTGTGAGTTGGAAGCTCTGAAGGCCCTTTGCCCCCAAATAAAAAAGAAAGGCAATAAAGGGTCTTAAATTTAGGCAAGAACTTTCAGAAGTCACTATTTGGGCAATTTTATCTAGGAAACTACATTCACAAAGTGGAAGCTTTGAGGAAGCTGAATCTGTGGCCAATTTGGGGGTTTAGGGTGGCAGTTTGTACCCTCCAATGGTATTTCCTCCCTGCTTCAATACCTGTGTCAACGATGGGACCCAAACCTGTTTTTGACCCAGCCATTCTAGCACCTGGGAAGAGTGGGGCTCATAAGGACTCCTTTTTTACCTTTATATGTTTGCTTCTTAGGAAAAAATTAGCTACTAACCCATTTCTTTAATTTCGGCTTATGTCATTTGGCCAGCTATTCAGGATAAGTCCTTCCAAAATTTTTCTTGGTTTACTCTCTCCTTGAGCACCAAAGTAGAAATTACTTTTTCTTCCTTTCCTCTCTAGTGCTTGATTTCTCCTGAAAGGTCTCTAGTCCCTTCATTTTCCCTCCTTCCCTGCTTTTTGTTCCTTTTATCCTGTTGCTTTTTCTTGACCTTGTAAGTTCCCCACAGTAGAAGGAGAAAGTGGTAGGGGAGCTAGAGAAGTGTCCTCCCTCTCTTCTGTGGTCCTTACTCTGAGAGCACAGATTCCCCTTGACATCGGGTCACAATCCATGTAATACACAGACCAGCACAAGGCATGGCACGTAGTAAGAAACTGGTGTTTTTCAGGGTCATCTTCCTTATTTGGGATGGGGCCAATGCAGTGAGTTTCCTTCGCTAAGCCAATGTGGCTTTTTGCAGGGCGTGTGTGAGGAGATGACCTATGCGGAGATTGAGCAGCAGTATCCAGAAGAATTTGCACTTCGAGACCAAGAGAAGTACTTGTATCGGTATCCCGGTGGGGAGGTGAGCCACCCCTCATGTGGAGTGACTGCCTGGCCCTTTGTGGGGTTTAGCTTTGATTTGGGAGGAGAATGTGCTCTGGTAGGATTTAGACATTGTTTATTCTCTGACCCGTGAGTCACATGGGGTCTCATGCAGCTTAGGCAGCCAAATGCCTCAGTAATTTGTTAAGATCTCCAGGGAAAAGGGTGACAAGACGTCCTCTGTGTTGGGGATGTTGTAGAACCAGCATAATCATTTTGTAATTTCCGTTCTTCATTCTACTCTCTCAGTCCCACCCCTACATAAGCAAATGGAGTCACCAAGTAAAGATATGGGACGTGAATTATTTTCCTGTCATCTTCGGTGTTTTAGGCTGTTTCCTGGACCAAGTGGTTTCCTACCCTAGGGATGTATGAGGCAAAAGAAAATAAGGCAGACTGGCAGAGGTCCAGGAAACTCCGAGAAGTCTCTTGTGTTATATGCTGCCCATGTTAATCTGTGGGAACAGCAATGACAACAAAAAACCCAACACGGGTAAATTCAGACTTTCTCCTCTTGACCTTTGGTTTTCTTGGTCTGAATATTCTCAAAATCTGATTATTCTCAGATAACATAGTAGGTGACAGAAAGTTACTGAGTGTCCAGGAGGAAAGCCAGCTGGGGGAGAAGTGTCTTCTTGAGTCTGGGCCCCAGACACAGACTTGGCTGCTAGCTTACATCTGTTCCCTGCCGGCCTGCTCTTTCCCCCACCCCTCACAGTCATACCAGGACCTGGTGCAGCGGCTGGAACCTGTCATCATGGAGCTGGAACGTCAGGGCAATGTCCTCGTCATCTCCCATCAGGCTGTCATGCGCTGCCTCCTGGCCTACTTTTTGGATAAAGGCGCAGGTACAATTTGAGGGAAGGGATGGGGAGAGGGCTGGACTCATGGTGGCACCAGCATAGCTTCCCTGGCAACGGCCCTCCCTTTCTTCCACTAAGAGTACATTCTTCAGGCAGCAGTGTGGGGCTCCCAGCAGCCATTGGGTCAACTACTTACTAAAGTCACTCTGCTGCTGCAAAAACCCCCAATGGAGAGTGGCTGCTGCTGCTTCTCCTTAACCCTGCCTGGCTAAAGAGCCTCATTAAGCTGACACTCGCGACAGCATCAGAAAGTGACTATTCCCAGCATGTCACTGTGACTAGTAGGAGGGTGGTATCTTCCGAGCATCTTCATCCTTTGGATTGGGGGTAGGGCAGCTGGGCAAGAATAGTAAGGAAACACTCGTGCCTCCTCTGGTACTTCCCTCCCCTTCCTCATCTCCCTGAACTGCTAGGAAGCTGTTGTGGCCAAGCATTACTGGTTTTTTCTATACCCTGGCAGACCCCTTCCATGGGGCCCTGACTGCAGCACTTGTTCCTGTTTTGCCCTCATGAAAGGATTGAAAATGGCCACGGAGAGGCTTGGGTGGCTTCTCTGGTCGTGAGAATTGACTGATGTTTAGGGGAGGAGCTATGCAACTTTAGGTGGTGGTCAGGGTAAAGAAACCTTGTTATGAGAACCTTAGAATCTCTCTTGCACTAACTTGACCTTGCTCCCTAATATTAAGACTCCTCTTGGCTGGGAATGGTGGCTCACACCTGTAATTTTAGCACTGTGGGAGGCCGAAGTGAGTGGATTGCTTGAGCTCAGGAGTTCAAGACCAGTCTGAACAAGAGCAAGATTCTGTCTCTATGAAAAATAGACAAACTGGGGCAAGAGGATCACTTGAGCCCAAATGTTTGAGGTTGCTGTGAGCAGTGACGCCACGGCACTCTACTCAGCATGCCAGAGTGAGACTCTTTCTCAAAAAAAAAAAAGGACTTCTCTCATCTAGTCTTTCTGCTTTCAGATGAACTACCATACTTGAGATGCCCTCTTCATACCATCTTCAAACTTACTCCTGTGGCCTACGGTAACTATGAGCTTAGGGGCTGGTAGGAGGTGGGGATGGAGGAAGGTCAGGATTTTTTGTCTGAAGTTTGTCTGGAAGTTCAGCTTCATCACCCCTGCTTACCAGGGAAGTCCCATCAGTGTCTTTGTTTTTAAAGGGCTATCTGGATGTACATCTGTATTTGGAAATACACACATACCTTTATAGCATACTTTCCCATAATGAAACTAAGAAATTTTCTCTTGAGCTTTTTCCCAGATGGCTTTGTTTTTTCTGCCTGTTTTCTCAGGTTGCAAAGTGGAAACAATTAAACTCAATGTGGAGGCTGTGGACACTCACCGTGACAAGCCAGCCGTAAGTAACGTCCCACGGATGAACACGCCAGTTTCTCTGCCACCTTGAGTCTCTGAATTTTTGGGATTAAAAACCTTGAGTCTCTGAATTTTTGGGATTAAAAGACTGGGGTTTCTTTTATGTATAATAGGGAAACAGATCCAGAATTCAAGTCCTGTCTAGTTTGTTTACTTCCAAAAGGAGGAGATGTTAGAATTATTGTTATTTAGTTATTATTATTATTTTTTGAGACAGTCTCACTTAGCTGCCATTGGTAGAGTGCTGTGGTATCACAGCTCACAGCAACCTCTGACTCTTGGGCTCAAGAGATTCTCTTGCCTCAGCCTCCCAAGTAGCTGAGACTATAAGGCGCCTGCCACAATGCCTGACTATTTTTAGAGGTGAGGTCTCACTCTTGCTCAGGCTGAGCTCGAACTTGTGAGCTCAGGCAATCCACCCACCTCAGCCTCTCAGAGTGCTGGGATTACAGGCGTGAGCCACTGTGCCTGGCCAGAATTATTATTTTTTAATTAGTACCCTTTTCATAAGTCTTAATTTTGAAAGTTGGTTCCTTGAAATTCAGTTAAATGTGGAAAGTGATTGGCTAAAGTGAAATGCAAATGTTTATCCTAGGAAGGTCTCCATTTAGAAAGTGGAGTCCAGAGGCATCTATAAGGTGGTGGTCGAGAGGTTGATTCCTAGGTCTGTCCTGCGTGATCAGAGTGATTGTCAATAAGCCCCTTCCTTTCTATGGATCTTCCTTGTGCTTTGGAATATGACACTCAAGGAGCTTCTCCTCCTTACAACCCTTTAGCTCCCTGGTGCTAGGAGACCGGGCCATATCCCTTGTCCTAAAAAGACCCTACGTGCAGAGGAGCAGGGGTGAGGGCAGCTGTTGTGGTCACGAGCATTATTTAACCTTATGAATGAGCCTTTGGCTTGGCTTTCATTTCTGTGGTGTCCCTCCATTTCCAATCAGAACAACTTCCCCAAGAGGCAAACCCCTGTAAGGATGAGAAGGAACAGCTTTACACCTCTGTCCAGTTCGAATACAATAAGCCGTCCAAGAAATTACAGTGTTGGGAGCCGGCCCCTCACGCCCCTCAGCCCTCTCCGTGCCCTGGACATTCAAGAAGGGGCCGACTAGCCGAAGACCTGAGTCAGCATTCCGGTGGTGTAACCGTGTGTTTCCCTGCAGCCTTGGCCTCCTGCCCTTGTCACTAATCTCCAGGGAGTCATTTAACTTCCTCCCCTCACTCCTACTTCCAACACGTCACTGTTAATCGTAACACAGAACCTGAGATCGTGTGTTTGTGGGCCGACTTCAGTCAGTTTATGGTTTAACACATCTCTCCACATGAGGGCAGGTTGGCAAGTTGGGTCTTTAGGACAGGTCTGGAGGAGGAGGAAAAGGACTCCTCTGGGGCGAAGCATGCCCCATGCACTTGCTTTTTCTCTCTGGTGTCTCCTGGTGTCTAAACACTAATGTCCTTGTATTGGTGAAGTGGTGGTGGGGGGGGATGTTGGAGGGAGACACAAAAGCCCAATTTTTCTTTACCTTTGTCTTTTTAATGTGTGTTTTATAGTTGTTACTTGACTGATTTTTTCCCCCTTACATCTCCCCTTTGGATTGTCCAATGTAATGCCATGGCATGGTGGTGTCTGTCTAGGAAGCAAGGAATGGTTGGTGAGAGAGCAGTCTGCCCCAGTTGATGCTTTTGGCAGAGGCCTAAGTGGTTCTGGATGGGGAGGGGCTTTCTCCTTTCCTCTCCAGCCAGGGCCTGCCAGGGCCAGCCCAGGCTATAGAAAATCCACAGAATAATCTGGAACTTACAAGTGAACAGAAGGTGAGACTTTTTGTCCTCCTTTCATGAGAAACAATCCCACATCTTAGATCCCTTCGGGAAGCTGGTCCTGAGAACATGGGAAATACCTTGGTTTGCGTTTTTAACTTGAAGAGGCAGGCATGGGTTTTTTGGTGTCTGGAGAGGGCGTTAGAAGAGCAACATGGTCTCCAACTCTTGCAAAGCTCTTTGGGGACAGTCACATATTTTCTCCAGGGGCTCCCAGGTTCTTTGCCGATCACAGCAACTTTTCTGGAAAGGTTAGTGACCTCTGGGGCTATTCAGAGGACAGAGTTAGGTTCAGGAGTCACCACTGTTGTTTGAATTGCTCAAGGTAAAAGGCAGAGAAGAATTCACTAATGCTGCTTATTATTTTCTAATAATTTTCAGTACACTCTTCTTAAGTTTAAAAACAAAATTCTTTTACATGAGCAATTTTTTTTTTAATATGGGCAGTATTTTCCCCAAATGTGGTAAAGCTTGATGGTGAATTTAATCTCTCTCATTGGAGTATTTTTTGTGTTCATAAGGAGAAATGATCTTATAAAAGGAGTCCTTGGAACCCAGGGGGTCTAGCTCTTGACTGTTTGTATTAATCTGTTCACTTCTGTCATTTCATTTTCTTTGTAGGGTTAAATAGGAAATGCCTAGAGAAGGGATTCTTAGCCCCTTGATGGCCCATGATAGCTTATCCTCTCTCCTAATTCTGTATGCAAAATGCATGAACATATGTATATTTTGCTGAGAGGCAAATTTAAAATTCTCATGAGTTTTTTTTTTTGAGTCAGAATCTCACTGTGTATCCTGGGTAGAGTACTGTGGCATCATAGCTCATAGCATCCTCGGCCTCTTGGGTCTAAGATCCCTTTGCCTCAGCCTCTGAGTAGCTAGGACTATAGGTACCTGCCACAATGCATAGCTAATTTTTTCTATTTTTTTTTTTTTTTAAAGTAGAGATGGAGTTTCGCTTTTGCTCAGGCTAGTCTTGAACTCCTTAGCCAGGCAATCGACATGCTTCAGCCTTCCAGAGTGCTAGGATTACAGGCATAAGCCGCCACACCCAGCCTACTGATGAGATTTTTCAAGCACGTACCTGACTCTCCACTTTAAAGTTATCAGCTTATCTTTTAGAGATAATCAGTATTTTCCTAGGATACTTTTGCTGTGTTTTGTTTTTGCTAGGTAATAGAAGACCTTTTGTCGTCTTTCTCATCTGGGAGTATTCCTCAACGTCCCCTTTAGAACTTTTGAAACATAGGCAGTCCTGTTACTACCTTGGGCATAAATAAATACTGATTCAGAACCTCTGAGAATGGGGTCTGGACATGTGTGTTTAGATAGCTTCTCTGGTGGTTCTGGTTTGTAGCCCCGATTAACAAGTCCGCCTTAGGAAATTGGGTGGAAAAATATTGGAGTCGTAAGCCGTTTCTGGGACAAAGCGTCAATCTAGGAATTCTGAATTCCTCATGGTTCTGAAAGGACGATTCTATATTTGAGCAAATCATAGTATAAAATGAAATAACACCTTCAAAGGCAGCCTGCTGTGTTTAGAGGGTTATTGTAGGTTGTAGTTCCATCTGTAATCCTTTCATTCCTTGCAGGGTAATGTGGAAGAAATCACTGAATTAAATAATTGTGCTTGGATAATAGCTTGGGACTTTAAGCGCCCCAGGAGAGAGGTTCTAAGGGAGTGCCTGAAGGATCATAAAGGTGTCTTCATAGGCCACTGACTCTTGACCCGGAGTCCTTTACTCTTACATTCCAAGTAGGATACCATGACCAGTTTCCAAGGGTTGCTTGTCTAGATTCTTCTCAAAACTGCGTCCGAGACATAAAGTAACCTGTTGTTCCTGTTGAGATGTACGTAATCTGTATTTAGCATCTTTGTTTGTGGGGCTTGGGCTGCTGGGGGCACTGGTGGGGGGAAGGACACACAGAAACAGAAGAAAAGGTCCTTGCTGGGAAGAAAATTATTTTAAGAGATAGGACACGTAATTGGTAACAAGAACATCTACCAAAGAGCAAGACACGGAGTCCAGAAGTGCTGCCCATTGCACAGGCTGCCTCTTCTGACTTTTCTCCTGTCCTACGGCTGTAATACGGAAAGGGTTAGCCAGTGGGGATGCCCCCCATCAAGGTGAGAATGAGATGTGGTCTGGAGGGTGTGTGGCACTTTCACAAGGTCGCCTTTGTTACCTTTGCATGGAGGGTGGCATCTGTAGCCCACGTGGGCATTCGGTCCTTTTTCCTGCTGCAGAGTGAGAATGGTTCAGAACTAACGAATGGGACGAGGGAGGACTCTGACCTCAAGACTCTGAATTTAGACTGTACCTACTGTTAGTGCGAGGGGACTTCTCTAACAAACCAGTGTTGTGGTAACCTGGTGTAAACTCCAGCCTTACAGACAGGTCCCTGGGACGTTTGTCTGGATTATTTCTCCCATCTCCTCCTGTGCTAGTTTACTGCCCTCAGAAGAGGAGCTGTGGTGGTCTTATTATCCTCAGGTAGGACATGAGAATTGGAATTTGACAAGAAAGATTTCAGCTTCTTTCAGTTTTTGGGTCACGATCCCTTCAGAGAAGTTCAACTGAGGAGAGTATAGAATGGGGGAAGCTCTTCCACTTTAGAAGTCTGACTTCCTGTTTTTCCTTTCTTGGCCTTCTCTCCCCTTTTGTGACTTGTATGCGTATTGGTAGTATGTACGGACCACTGTGATTATGTCTGAAGCATGAGTCCTACAAAGAAAAATGGATTTCACAGTACCTTTGCTGAAGCATTAAGTTTTGTTACTGGAGAAATAGGTGAAAATGTTAGCGTTTAATCTACTGGTATAAAATTCAGAAAGGGAAATTGTCTATTCTCTTTTCTTCTTCTTGTTTCAAAACTGCATGAAGAAGTCCATGACGGATTTGAAAGAGGACTTTACAGCAGACTTAGAGGATTCCCTTCTGTTTCTATCTCCTGATCCCCAGATCGGAATTCAGCTCTTATTCTTTGTAGTGGCTTTTGTTTTGCTTTAGTAAAGGAATAGTTTTACACTGAGTTGGAAAGCGGAGTAAGAAAATTTTTAAAAACATGCTTCATGCTGGGCTTCTGCTCTGTGTCATTGCCTCTGGTTTTTGTTGTTTGTTTTGCAGGAAGTTAGAGTTAGGGGTACAATGTATTTGTACGCCCAGACTGAATGGTTAGGGATTCCTTCTGAGTATCTCTTTGCAACCCACATTTGATCTTCAGAGGTACTGGCATTTTGAAGAAACATATGAGGTAGCTGTTTAGAAATAAATTCATTTTACTGGGTTTTTGTGTGTGTTGCGGGGGAGTACCAAGTTCCACAGAAACTCGTTGATGCTTGGTGTAGCCAAGGAAAGAAATGTCCAGTAACAAAAGCACCGTACCTGGGTTATGAAGTCTTACCCGCATTCCCTTGCCTTTGCCAAACCCAAAAGCCATGCTACGTTTGGTGTCAAGACATTTGGTAGATTTACCCAATTTTTCTAGTATATATTTTCACTTACTTGTGTTTTAAAATATTTTTATTTTAAAAGTATGTACCAATTGAATCAGGTTGAGACATAGGTAGGTAGAACTCTGACTTCTTACGGTGATAACACAGACATCAGAAGAATGTCGAGAGATTTAATTTACACTCAAACTGTTTAGAAGACTGTCTCTCACAGGATCTCTGTGCTGACTTAGAGACCAGTAGGGTGTGGGAAGTTGTGTGTGTTTGCTGACTGGTAAGACTGGTAGGGTCTGTATACTGGCTGTCTAACAGACTTTAGTAGGACCTGTGTGCTGACTGACAGGTGCTGGTAATGTCTACGTGCTGACAGGCTCTAGCAGGGCCTGTGTGGTGACTGACAGATTCCAGCAGGATCTGTGTGCTGTCTGACAGACTAGTTGGATCTGTGTGCAAATGGACAGACTCCGGAAGGATCCATGCTGCAACTGACTGATGGACTTTAGCAGTGTCTGCCTGCTAACTCTTTGCCTGTTTTCTGATTGTACCAATTGACAATGTATGCGCATGATTGTAATTATTCTCTAATCTATCTTGTGTGTCTTACCAAGAAAGGAACTCAGCACTCCACATGTTTTCTTTCTGGGGAAGGTCTGTACACTATGATTTTAAATAGACATTTCTTGTACCTTGGTGGCCAAATTCTCTTCATTTTGTAAAAGATAAAGGTTGTACCTCACTTGCATAGTATTTTTTGAACTCAGCCAGGGGAATGCTTGTTCAGAGCCTGGAGTTGTTACCTCTACTGGAAGTTGTCTCATGCAGCCCGCAGTTTGGTGGGCAGGACTTAACTAATGTCGTCCATTTCTGAACCTTCGGTGTCCTCAGCTTACTCTTTGTGGAATGTAGCGTTCCACTGGACAGTGCTGCTGTTTTCAGTCTGCCATGTATTTGGCATTTACTCCTAGTCTCATCAACAAAAATGCAAAGGATATTTTGCATTTAAAAATTGATTGTAAGAGTTGGCCAAAGTATTCTTTCCAGTAAGCCTTTTTCACTGGACGCCTGTGGCCAATATTTACCTCCTTGATGTTTTTGTATCTGAATTGCTTGTGTACATTTTTTATTATGGTGAAGTAACCAGATCGACTCATTCTGATAAGGTGATGGTTTTGCTATGGCAAAAGCAAAAGACTAATCTCAAGTGGTGCCCTTTGGAGGGGGATGGAATGGGGCCCAGCACCACAGGGTTGAATGGGAATGCGCTGGATTGGGAAGCCTAGGACCAGAGTTCGTCTGCAGATTTCCTAGGCACAGCTCTGTTGAAAGTAGGAACATACATCTTTAGCAGCATTCTGATTTAATCTAGTGATGCTGATAACAGATTATGCCATTCAGATCCACTTAAGGTGTGTACAACTGTATTTGAAATGTGTTTTTGCGCGCGTGCGTGTGTAGAATGGGTAAATAAAATTGTTGAGTAACTTGAACCTATCAGAAGCCTCCTGGGTTTTTTGTTTTGCATTTTTGGTTACGTTCCCACCCATGCCCTACCCCTAAAACCTTGCCTCACCCTACACCATGATTGAGACTCAGGGAAGTTCTCAGTGTAATTGGAGTCCATGATGTTGGCATGGCTCTTTTCTGCCACCTTCTGGGGAAGATGGGAAGGACATTATGGATGGAAAGCACATGAACTTTAGAAGTTGCCTCCTGTACAGGAATGAAGAAAAAAATTACATTGGACTGCACTGTGTTGTGACTCCCATTAGCAACGTGTAACTCATATCATCTATTATAAAGAAAGTTTTTGGAGAGCTTTTAGAATTAAGGGCTGTTGCTCCTAAAATATAATCTGCTTATTTCTAAATAGATTATCGCCAATGGCATAAAATGGGATTGAACTTCTTCTGGGGGCAGGAAATACAGGTGGGATTGTTTTACCATTCTCATGCCTTATTTCTTGTTACCCTAACAAGGACCAGGAGCTCATTAGAAATGCAGACTCTCAGGCCCCATCCCAGACATACTGAATCAGCGTCTTCAGTTTAACAGGATCACCAGGTGATTCATATGCACATTTAACGTCTTAGAAACCCTGTTCTCAGGGGAAGCATCTCCCACAAGGTGAAACATTAGATCCAAGTTTATGGGGAGAAGTCCATCTGGTCTGATGACTGATTTCAGAATGGGTGGCGGTAACTACGATGGCAGAAGCCAAGTGACCCCTGACCAGAGCATCACTTTCTTGGCATGGTCCTTTGGTTGATGTAGCTGACATACTCTCCTTTTCCCAGAGAGACCCTGACTGCTTCTGCTTCATATCTTGGGGATGTAGTTTATGGTCTAGGTCTGAAAGGAGTGCCTGGTCCAACAAGGTCATCTTCTCAGGGAAAGAAGCCCATGATTATGCCATTAGCATTTGCCTGATTCCCCAGGTGCGTGTGTGGGCACACCAGTGTGTTCATGCATGTGTGTGGATGAGGGGGCGGGAGTGGGGCTGGGAGAGAGACTCTGTTCTGCTTTCTTTGCTCATCTTGGTGGTGGTGTAATGGCTTTGTGTCTCTTCCCCTCTGGCTCCTAGGCAGCGGATACCTTAGTAGCAGTGCACAGACGCCCCTCTGCAGCAGCCCTCACTTTGCTTTCCTGATGATGTGGAGGCTTGGGCCACACCTCTCCGAGGGACTGGGATCTACTGAAAAGCTTGGGATGTCAGCTCCACAAAGGCTAGAACAGAAAGTTAAGCTGGGACTGGACATTTGGGGCCACCAAAATGAGGCCTGGAAAAACGTCACCACATATCCTTCCCTCATGCCTAATGAGAGCATCAATTTCATTGAAAAACTTAACTTCCTTGTGCCTCAAAACATTTAACAGCCTGAACTGATTAGTTTTTATCATCTTTTTGCTGAGTTTGGCTCAAGTCGGCCAATCTCATTCTGTGTGGGGATTTAATGTCCTGCCTATGACTACCCGCATCCTTTGCTGGCTATTCTTTGTCTGAAGTACAAATGTGCCTCTTCAGATTTGGTTTCCAAGTGAGAGGGCTGAACTCCAGAAAGCCTTTTCTGTGCAGTAAGAGCTGGTCTCTGCATCCATTCCAGGCAAGCAGGCTATAGTCCCATATATGTACGCTAGCAGTCACTTTGCTACAGTCCCATATACGTGTGCTAGCAGTCACTTTCTGTACCTTGGAAACAGGGACTGATGCCAGGTGAACGGAGGGTATCTGAGAACTTCAGTTCCTGAAACATCTCTTCTGCAGTGATGGAAGAGCAGTGTCAGTAGCAATCTTTTCATTTAGAGAAGTTTTTCTTATTCCAGGCCCTTCTGGCCAGTCAGACTGGGTACCCATCTTCTAAGTTCTACTTGTAGCTACTGTATTTTCTACCTGATGTGTGTGCCTCTTATAGCTGAAGACGGGGCTGATGTAATTCTCCTGAGTGATTGGGAAGGCTGGCTGGGTGCCATTTACAGCTTATGAAGAAGTAAGGAAGCCTCCTTGGCAATCAGCTCTGTCCAGGAGTTTTGGTTTCAAATCAGGTGAAAGACATGCCCTTTGGTAGGGGCTGTCACCGTGATGTGGTCTCTAAGAAAGCTGTAACTGTGACTTAGCCTTTGAAAGCCTGCCTCCTAGCTAATCACTATTGTGGTCTACTGGTCTCTCATATAAAACGTTGGGAAAACCAAGGAGAACCAAGGCCTCAAAGCATTAGTCATTTGGTTTCCCTCAACATAAACCAGATAACTAGTCTCTAGATGGGTGATTGTCAAATGTACAAATTTGTCTCTGTAATTGTGATTTTAACGTGTCCCCACTCCTGAAGGGGAGTGTGGAATCCCTAGAGGATATTATATCTTATAAGCAAACTCTATTTTTTTTAAATAATAATAATATGTTTTTAGCTTTAAACGTTTTTTTTTTTTTCCCCCTTTCATCCTAATGCTCACTTGCTGGGCAAAAGGGTGAGTAGCAAAAAAAGTAATGAAATGCAGCTTTTCCCAAATGGTTCTTTTATACTGTGGATGATACTGAATTCTGTTACCTAAGATGTGATGAGCTGGGCTGCAGGCGGTTCAGCATTTGGCAACTAGGAGCTTATTTTATACGCACAAAGCTGCCTTCAAAAGGCTCCTTCTTGCTCTATAGCAGATGATTTTCATCTGGCTGCTTGTAGCATGCTGTACTGTAATGATTTTGTTCTCGTGATGTGAGTTTCTCTATGCATCTAACTATATTGTCTTGATGATCAGGCAATGTTTTTATATAGTTATTTATTCTAACCATGTAAGACATTTTTAAGTCTGCATATTGCCGTTTGCATGTATTTAATCAGAGTGTAATGTAATTTATATTGTCAGTTGTTTTGGTAGAAATCTAGATAGCCTGAGCTTTTAAGTCTGATGTCATAGTATTACCTTAAGTTAAATTTTCAGACTATGGATATCTGCGTTCTGTAAAAGAATAATAATGATATTAAGGGACAGTGAATTTTTTTGAATACTTTTTTCCTCATTGATTTTTATTCTAAGTATAAACCAAGAGTTTCATTTTTCTGGAGAAAAGTTTGTCTCCAGGATAAATAAAATCATGCTAAAGTATGTGAGTAATATGTATTGCTTTTGTAACAAGAAAATATAATAAAAGTTATTTTTAGTTAAAAGTGTAACTTTTAAGATCACACACAAAAGAATGTAACTTTTGGTATATTATACATACACGTTGTCCAAAATATGTTTGAAACTAGCTTCTTTGAAATGATTTCTAGCTAATTAGATTGTGTATATATTTCCAACTAGAAATGTTTTAACTGGTGATTTTTTTTTCAGGTTTCAGTAGCATTTCAAAATGAAAGCAAGGCCATGCCTGTAATCCTATACTTTGGGAGGCTGAGGCAGGAGGATCCCTTGAGCTCAGGAGTTCAAGACCAGCCTGAGCAAGAGCGAGACCTCATCTCTACTAAAAATAGAAAAACTAGCTGGGAGTGATGGCAGGCACCTGTAGTACCAGCTACTTGGGAGGCTGAGGAAGGAGGATTGCTTGAATCCAGGAGTTTGAGGCACTGCAAACTAGGCTGACATCATGGTACTCTAGTCTAGGCAACAGTGAGACTCTGTCTCAAAAACAAAAAAACGTTATCAGTAAGATTGTGACTGCCTGCCATATATTATTGATATTCAAGAGTTTTATTCTCTTATTTAACCAATATTTAATGATGACTACCTCCTGACTGCCAGGCAATGACTAAAACAAAGTCTCTGCCCTTAAGTTTATTATTGTAAAGGGAAAGATGAACAGCAGTTCTATAACACAGCATCCCTCCCTATCAGGGATGTATTCCTCCTCATGAATGATCTTGACCAAAAACATTGTTAAGTAATAGTCATAAATGTGTATGATAAAGGAACGTGGAACCCTCCCTTTGGGGTAGCCGTAGAGATACAATGCATAAGAACAGAACCTTCCCAAATTCTGTAAGTTCAAGGATCCTTTTGGTAGGATGAAAACGATTGATGAATTGTCCAAGTTTGGAGGTGACATTAAGTATTGAGGAAAGTAGTGAGCTGAAGGAGTAGCAATGATGAGGATGTGGTAGAAACAGTATAATTTCCTTGGAAAGACCTCTAAATACTTTTGCAAGTGTTATCTACTTCAGCCGTCAAGCCATCGTTTGTAAAGTCGGGGAGTGTCTGGAATCATTCTAGTTTTACAGATAAGTAAATGAACACCCTAACTCAGTAACATCCCTCAACGTGGTCAGAATTTTTATCAAAGCCGAAACCTCAGAACAAGGTAAATGGTAAGATTTATAATTGTGGGGACTCAATAAATGCATTCTGTACGGCTTTTAAATGTAGTTGGTAACTTAACAGAGATCCCAGAACTAGAATATGACTATTCAGAGAGTGCTCCAGTATTGGGGGATAGTCATGATTTGCTTTTCTTCTATAGCTTGAACTATTACACTATGTCTTAAACCTCTCCAGGATTTTCACTTAGGACTGTGAGGAAGGTCAACATTCAGGCTCACTAGCTTGCCCTTGTTGGTGACAACCTCACTGGTGCTTCCTGTGGAAGTCTGGCAATAGCCCATTACTAAGATTTATGGTCTCCAAAAGTATTCCACATCATCCATCCTACGTTCATTTTCTGGAACTCATTTAAGAATTTGACATGCTAAGGACTCTCTTCCCAGACCGTGGTGGACAATTAAGCTTTGCATACAGTTTAGGGAGATCATGACCTGAGACCCATCCATGAACCTCAAGATAGGAAACCAGGACCTAGGTAATAATCTCTACACCCTGTTCTCCATTTCTCTTCTTTAATGGGTAAAAGAAGTAAGTAAGCAAGTGAAATCCATTTGATACTTTTAGCAGACTAGGGGAATATATGAGATACTCATGTATTTTACCGGACACTGGAATACTCATGTTTTTATTGGACACTGGAATATTTCAAAATATGCATGAGTTGTAATAAGACTGCACCACTGTCATCATGGAGAGAGATATTTTCTTTCTCTTAAAAACATCAAAGCATAAAATGTTTCTTCTTTTATTCTCATTAAGCCAATGTCAGCCACATTACTTCAGCCATTTACAGGCAGAACAACTACTTCCTCTGAATTCCCAAGGGCATTTAAGTGTCCCTTTTTGGTTGTGTACATTCACTCTATCCGTGAAAATCAGGTTAGACGCCATAGGTGAGCTTCTTTCAGTTAAGTAAAATAATTTCAGAAGTATAGGAACCATTGGGAAGGCCCATTTCAGATCTAATGGGAACTAGTGTCAAGAAGTTGAATGCCCTTCACCGAGCCTCCAGCCAGTTTCTTGGGGTAACTGATTTATCCATTTGGATTTCCTTCATTAGTGATGTGTTTGCCTCATTGTTTACATTTGGTTTTCACTCCCTCAGTTCTCTTCCTATTCATTCATTGCCTTTTTAGAATTTATGGATGGTGTGTGAAATAGTGTCAGGACATAATTTAATAAGGTCCATTACATATTCTTTTCTGAATTTAAATCCTGACTCATTTCACTCAAACTCAGGCTGTTTTAGATTAGAATTGGTTTCAGCTAAAGATGTCACCAAATCTAAACTAAGGCTCCTGAATATAAGAGAAGGATGTTGTCTCCCCAACAATGAATTGTGGAGGTAAGTAGTTTAAGACTGGTATGGAGGTTTCACAATTATCTGGGACCCAAGTCCTTCTGTCATATTAACTCATCAGATTTAAAATGTGTCAGGCTCACACCTGTAAGCCTAGCACTCTGGGAGGCCAAGGCTGGAGGGAAGATCGTTAGAGCTTAGGAATTTAGGATCAGCCTGTGCAAGAGCAAGACCCCATCTCTACTGAAAATTAGCTGGGCCTGGTGGCGCATGCCTGTAATCCTAGCTGTTCAGGAGGCTGAGGCAGGAGGATTGCTTGAACCCAGGCATTGTGAGGTTGCTGTGAGCTAAGCTGATGCCATGACACTTTAGCCTGGGGCAAAAGAGTGAGACTGTGTCTCTTAAATAAATAAAAAGTAAAATAAAATAAAATAACAAAGTAAAATTATAAAATAAAAACAAAATGTACCGGATTCTACTTCATGGAATAAGATGGCTGCCCCAGCTATTTGCATTCCAGCCAGCTAGAAGGAGGTGAGCAAGAAGGGCATACCAACTTCTTATAGGGACATTTCCTAGGTTTCTCATACACGCTTACACTTGCATCCTATAGGAAAAAACGTAATCAAATGGCTGTCTGTAGTTGGCAGGCAGGCTGGACATTTTTGTTGTTGTTGTTGTTCCAAGTGGCTTGGTTCCAGCCACTCCACACGTCAATTACCAAAAAAGAATGGAATGGATAGGGGGAGCAAATACCAATCTTGTGACAAGTCTGAAAGGCTATACCAAAGTGAGAAGTGGCCTTTGAGGAGTTAGATTGCCATTACTTTTGGTTTTCTTTGTATGTTTGTTTACAGTTAATTTTTTTTTATATATATATTTTTATTGAATGGTAACTATGTACGTTAATGCGCTTCTGGGGTACAGTGTGGTGTTTTCAAACACAATCTGAAACACTTCCATCAAACTGGTTAACATAGCCCTCATGTCATTTTCTTAGTTATTGTGTTAAAATGTTCATATTCTACTCTCAGAAAGATTCACTCGTATCCTTGTAAGATAAACCACAGAAGTAATCCCTCCAATCCTCCTCCCTCCACCCATTCCCCCTCCCCCTCCGCTCTTCCTCCCCCGCTTCCCGTATTCTTAGGCTGTTATTAGGTTATAGCTTTCATATAAAAGGTATAAATTAATTTCATAATAGGGGTGTGTACATTGGATACTTTTTCTTCCATTCTTGTGATACTTTGCTAAGAAGAACAATTTCCTGCTCCATCCCTCC